GATCACTTTAAAGGTGAAGTGAGAAATAATGTCATTGCAGACCCTCTCCTTTTGCAAATGGTGGTTATTTGGATGTTACTTTAATCTTAAGGTATCAGTTCTATTGATGGTGATCAAGTACGCAAATCGGGTATTCTGATTTTGCGCAATGTGTGCTTTTTCCAAGTAAGTGACTCAAAAATATTGAAGGTGTGGCAGCTAGACGACTAGCATTTTCAGTCCCCATATTTCTTTGTAATTTTTCATCTAATAACATACATTACAGTGCGTTAGTCCTGTCATTTCTGTATAAGCTGTAATTCTCCTTTTAATGGTTTTTATCAGGTGTAGACTATTTCCGTTCCCCGTCTAATAGTCTTTGGATTAATGATACATTTTCATTTAATGGCTTAACGTTTCTCTTCATATTATGCAAATTGGAGGGTAGGCTCTTAAAAAAATGAAACAACTTCTACCGAATTATTCAGTCGTGTTCCATAATGCATGACTGCAGATCATCAGAATATTGTTAAACACCGTAATTAATGATAGAAAATAGTTAAGTTTTAGCCAGTATCCTGCTGTTCCCTACCCGCAGATGTTTGGGGTCCCGACTGAAGCGGACTTGACTCTGGCAGTGCTGCATAGCTTCATGTAATTGTGCTGTCAATTCAAGGCAGTTCTTAGAATCAAGTTAGGCACTTGGTTGGTGATTGGAGAGCAGGGAATGTTGGATGCTCTGGTGGCTCCATGGGATCAGTATGTTTTTTCTTGCCTACAACTACTTTGTCTGCTCTGCAGGATCCATATTGAGGGCATTCTGATGATCCTCATTACCCTGGATTGGCCCAGAGTGGATGTGGTACTCCAACCTGGAAAGACTTTTAGCAGACGCATCATGGGCCCTGCTAGACCTGCAGCTGTACTATCCCATGGTCCAATTTGGCATTCTGCGTCTTGGTCTCTGGCTTTACCAAGATGGATGTTGGAGTCCAGGTTATAAAGAACAGTGGCATCTTTGAGCCTTTAATTTTGATAATGCTCAAGGCCAGGATGTCCGCTTTCTGCAAGGTCATTGGACGTTGAGAGAAAACTTCACTCGGTATAGGTGTAAGGGCTTTAATCCTAGGAGTTTCCCCTTGGGATGATTCCTCTCCTTCTTGCAGTTGGGTCTGGATCAAAGTTAGGCTCTCTATACCATCAAAGGTCAAATGTCTTTCCCCTCCATTTGTCCACTCTCCATTTCCCTGGACCTCTCACTCTTTGGTGCAGCCTTCGGAAATATAGCTGCCTAGCCTTTGGATATAAAGGTGTTCAGCCATTTCAGTTGCAAGCAGTCTTCCATTTTATGTTTATGTTGGGCCTGTTGGCGTTTGCTGTGTTGCCTACCTTTCAATTAGACTGTTTTTGGACATCCCGTAGATTTAGGACGTCTCCTCCCAATGGACGAAATGGAAAATAAAATAAAATCCTTTTCATGGAGTCCTTCCAAACACAAGTCCCCCTCTGTCCCACCTCTGTGTTTTTATGATCATGGTCTTGGTACTGATTTGCTACAAAGCTGAGGCATGCTGGTAGCAGGAGGAGTTATGCACTGGGCAGGGCCAGTGTCCATTCCTCCTGTCGGTGGCAGTATAAGCCAGAGGTTTAGGACATACTATGTTCCTCAGTTCCTCAATTTTACAGTAAGTACCAAAATCCTATTTAGAACCCTGCGTGGTTCTGAAACATTGGCGATTCAACACAAGTGATTTGCACCCTCATACAGTGCTCCTGTATATGTAGATCTGCACCCTCATACAGTGCTCCTGTATATGTAGATCTGCACCCTCACACAGCGCTCCTGTATATGTAGATCTGCACCCTCACACAGTGCTCCTGTATATGTAGATCTGCACCCTCATACAGTGCTCCTGTATATGAAGATCTGCACCCTCACATAGAGCTCCTGTATATGTAGATCTGCACCCTCATACAGTGCTCCTGTATATGTAGATCTGCACCCTCACACAGCGCTCCTGTATATGTAGATCTGCACCCTCATATAGCGCTCCTGTATATGTAGATCTGCACCCTAATATAGAGCTCCTGTATATGTAGATCTGCACCCTCACACAGCGCTCCTGTATATGTAGATCTGCACCCTCATATAGCGCTCCTGTATATGTAGATCTGCTCTTGGTTGCTTTCTGCATGTAATCCTTTACTTCTATGTTATTTTTTGTCTTGCCTGATCTTGTTTTAATGCTGTAAATCTTTATTTGTTAAACAGATCAGCTTGTCACCAGCCGACCTCCTACCGGCCCAGGCTGCTCCTCTCAGGGGAGCCCGGCTCAGGCCAAACCTCGCACCTTGCTCCAGCTGTCTTGCACAGGCTTGAAAAATTCTCAGTGCATCGATTGGACCTACCGGCACTTTACTCAGTCAGTGCAAAGACTCCTGAGGAATCATGTGCACAGGTGAGTGTGGCTTTTTGTAACTCGTGGGTGTGGGGTCGTGCATGCTGTTTTTTTGTTTTTTTAGATTTTATCTTTCCATGTGGATTCCATAGGTTGTGGTGAATGTGTTTATATCTTATCTATTCTCTTTGATTGCTTGCTACAACTGGCAAGGGGTGAAGTGGAACGTGTTAGTCATAATGGGGCAGGCTTTTAAGTTTTTCATTATATGCCTAGTGCCCATTTCTCCTGTAGGCGGTGTTATAACCTTATCTTGCTTAATACCGTTAAGCTGTGTCCCCCAGTGGACTCCAAGAAAAAAATATATATCGGATACAAAAAGCTTTTTTTTTTTTTTCTTTTCTGACAAATCAATGTCACTGCATCCCTCCAGCCACACGTTATGGAAGCCCTATGTGTAAATCAATTTCTGCCCATATATCTTATTTCCAGCTCACACTGAACGCAGGATGCTTAAATTGAGCGACTGCGGTCTGAGGACATTAATAGCAATTTGCTGCATTGTTCATTTGATTGACTTTATCGCGGTAAATACTCTGATAGGAGCAGCGGCGAGGCTCTTTGCCGCTCAGCTCCGCACAAAGCGCCATTCTAATTAAAATGCTGACTTTTGCAGGGCAGGCTGCCTAGATTTAGTTAAGGGTGAAATTGACTTGCAGTGTTGAAACACCACTATAAACGGATTCACAAGCTACATCTGCATTTGTTAGGTCACTTGGCAGAAAATCCCATCTATTTTAGTCAGCCAGTAATGAGTTCCAGATGATAAAGCCATTGTTAAGGCCGTACAAGTCCTGGGGTGGTGGGAAAAATACATTGCTAGTTCTCCTCAAAATTTCACAATGTTTTTGTGAGTTTATTCCATGTTCATTGGTTGGGAATGGACCATAAATGTTAACCTTTGCAGAGCTGTATGCGGAGATGTTTGTGATACTTCACTGATGAGGCAGCATGGTAAAGTGTCTGTATAGCAGCCATGTATAAATACACTATATTGCCAAAAGTATTGGGACGTCGGCCTTTACACGCACATGAACTTTAACGGCATCCCAGTCTTAGTGCGTAGGGTTCAATATTGAGTTGGCCCGCCCTTTGCCGCTATAACAGCTTCAACTCTTCTGGGAAGGCATCCACGGGAATGTTTGACCATTTGTGAGGTCAGCTACTGATGTTGGACGAGAAGGCTGGGCCCGCAGTCTCCGCTCTAATTCATCCCAAAGGTGTTCTATGGGGTTGAGGTCAGGACTCTGTGCAGGCCAGTCACGTTCCTCCACCCCAAACTCGCTCATCCTTGTCTTTATGGACTTTGCTTTGTGCACTGGTGCGCAGTCATGTTGGAACAGGAAGGGGCCATCCCCAAACTGTTCCCACAAAGTTGGGAGCATGAAATTGTCCAAAATGTCTTGGTATGCTGATGCCTTAAGAGTTCCCTTCACTGAAACTAAGGGGCCAAGCCCAACCCCTGAAGAACAACCTCCCCCCATAATCCCCCCTCCTCCAAACTTTACACTTGGCACAATGCAGTCAGACAAGTACCGTTCTCCTGGCAACCACCAAACCCAGACACGTCCATCGGATTGCCAGACAGAGAAGTGTGATTCATCACTCCAGAGAACACGTCTCCACTTCTCTAGAGTCCAGTGGCGGCGTGCTTTACACCACGGCATCCCACGCTTTGCATTGCACTTAGTGATGTAAGGCTTGGATGCAGCTGCTCGGCCATGGAAACCCATTCCATGAAGCTCTCTACGCACTGTTGTTGCGCCAATCTGAAGGCCACACGAAGTTTGGAGGTCTGTAGATATTGATTCTGCAGACAGTTGGCGACTTCTGCGCACTGTGAGCTTCAGCATGCACTGACCCCGCTCTGTCACGTTACGTGGCCTACCACTTCATGGCTGAGTTGCTGCTGTTCCCAGTTGCTTCCACTTTGTTATAATACCACTAACAGGTGACTGTGGAATAGCAAGGAAATTTCACCGAACACCTGAATCCAATGATTTGAAGGGGTGCCCCAATACTTTTGGCAATATAGTGTACAGGGAGAGCGCAGTAACAGAACTTGTTTAATATGGGCTTCAAATGTTAAAATGGATGTAAACCCTAACTTAATGACAGTTTGCCAAAGCACTGTGTATCATAAACTATGTAAATTTTTTTACCCTTTTTCATCATTAATTGCATCTTGGTGCTGCTGATCTCCTGCACCGCCTTTGCAGCCACTTCCTGTTTTCATGCACTCGAGCGATGGGTACATGCTTCTCAGAGCGGCTTTCCTGATGGTGACAACAGTGCATCATACCCATGTGTAACGTGCTGAAACAGCCACTTGTAGTCTCCATTGGATGTCCCTAAACATTACTGGTGGGGGGAAAGGTCAAAACATTGCCATCCAATAACACACAAAGCTTGAACAAGGTCATCCATGGCAGGGTCACCAGGTAAGTTGCCGATTTTGCACAACTTGAACATATGATCTCTTGTGAACGGGCATACAATACTCTGCTCAGATCCATAATTTCTATGAATCAGAATGCAGCAGTATTGTGGTCTGTGAGCCCATGCACAAAGCTGCATAATTTGGTGCTGGGCGGCTCGGTAAGCTCCCATTCACACCGAAGGAGTCTTGTCGCTCAAAGCTAAGTGCGCCGAAACGTTCAAGACAAGGAATCCCATTCAGTTCTATGGCCCCTGTTCACTCCTGAGCGTTTTGTCGCGAGCAGAAAAAAGCCTGTCATTGGAAAAAGTACATGAGCTTCTTTTAGGTAGATTACAGCACTTTTTGGTCCCATAGACTTCAGTGGGAAATGGCTGGAAAAGCACGGTTTCAATGGGACCAAAAAGCGATGTACCGGTAATCTGCCAAAAAGTAGTTTGTGTACAGGGGTGGCTATTGCATGTTACATATCCAATAGCAGGCTGGGAGGGCGGAGAAGGACCGGGACAGCAGCAACTGGGAGTGGGGGGGGGGAATGCAGTCCCAGCGGCCTCTCCTACCCGCTGTTACTGGCTGTCGTGGTCTGTGTTCTCGCTGCCTCTGCCGATAGACGGGGAATGAAAGGCACACAGAGCGCTGCAGCCAACACCAGCAGGGAGGAGCAGAGCGGCAGCAACTAATCAAAAAGCAACTAATCGATGAGAATCGTTGCCAACGATTCTCATTATCGATTATAATCGATGTAATCTATTAGTTGTTGCAGCCCTAAAAATAGATCTAGTTAAATATTGTTTTGATCATTTTTAGATATGCCTGGTCACTAGGAACACATAGTAAACATATAGTGGGGGGTTTCTCATATATTATTTATTTTTTTAAGCAAAACTGGAATTAGGCTTTAAGTGAATAGAGGAGTCTGTCATTGTATTACAGAGAGAACCGCTTTTTTTGTTTCATGGTTCAGGCCTTGTCAGCCATGGCATGCTTAGGAAGAAATGTGTCCATACACTGGTGTATGTTCTAGTCCCCGGTGCTCTGTTAGCATTGAGTGACTTATTTACTATTATAGTCATTGTGTGTCTAAGTATCCTTTTGGAATTGTAGTATTTTGTGTGATATCATTGTATGTGTTTTGGGTGTTTGACGTGAGCAAAGATCAGTGCCAAAATGGCCAGTCTCTAATGCTTTATATTGTTTTCCCAATAAAAAAAAAGAATGATTGTGTTTTTGAAATTGTATTGATTTTGTTTAGCTTAAACGCCAATGGCATTCAGCTTGGTACAAATGGTGTGTTTTCCTCCATCTACCAACTACATACAGTAAGTAGCACATATGTGAAGGTTCATGTGCACTTGCCGGGTAAATCAAGGGAAAAAAAAACTTCTTTGGACTTTCTCTGCCAGTAATGGGCAATTCCCATCCACAAGCGTCATCCCCACAGAGACCCTTGAGGTGGGAGGAAAGGTGTGACCATGTGATGACCACATCAGAGTATGTCCCTTTGGACAGTACTTACTTTTTACCAATATCTGTTAGATGTTGGCATCACCATGGATGGCCAAAGCTGGCCTCATGGCTTGGTCTGCTTGCGAATGGGCTGCTGTACAAGTTTGTGATCTGAGGTGTTTGGCACTCTTTCTTTCTCCGGGTTGAATAGTTATTGTAATATGTCCTGAGCACTAACACTTTGGTTTGTCCTTGTACAGGTGTTCCGGGAAGCTCGGAGAACAGTACCCAGTGTTGTTTACATGCCTCATGTCGGGGAATGGTGGGAGGCTGTCAGTGAAACTGTGAGGGCTACCTTTCTGACACTCCTGCAAGATATCCCTTCCTTCTCTCCCATACTATTACTGTCTACCTCTGAAACGGTGTACGGGGAGCTGCCTGAGGAGGTAAGAAACCACTTCTTCTTTATGCCATTCACTCCTGCAGGATGAAGGCCTATTTAGGGGGATGGAGCGGAGGTCTGCCTTGGGAGCCACCAAGAACTAGTGACATTGCTGTGGCATGAGGCACATAATCGAATGCTTTGTGTGTTGTGGAAATACGTGTATCTTGACAAGATCTCAGGTTCTTTGGGCACTCAGGCTAAGCAGTACACATGGTGTAGATTTTTAGGCACCACCTCCAGCTTTGGAGTACAAAAAGTAAATTAAAATATACTCTCTTCACTGCTTAGAGCCAACATGGCACACTGCAGCTGCCACGCGCCGACTTGAAGACCAACAGCTGAGGAATCATGTAACTGCTGATCGGGCCGCTCACTGTCTCTGCTCCCTGCAGAGGGTCACCCTCCCCCCCCCCCCCTTCTCTTTTTCTCCAGTGCTCATTGGAGGGACGGGCACAGCTGGCTCTGGTTCAAAAGAGGCATAGCTGGCTGTCGGACAACCGGGTGGATACCGAATGCAGCGTTGTGCATCTCTGCGTTATCAGCATATAGCGGGCAGTAGCCACCTATCTACTGACTTTGGGTCACAGGAATATATTAGTAAATGTACTCAATATACTCCTGTGACCCAAAAGAAAAGCAAAGCCAAAAAAAAAAAGGTTCGACTTTACTTTCACGTTTTCCATTCAGGCAGAAAATGAATTGTTACTTTGATTATCTCATGATATTACTCTTCACCAGATGTAGGCAACCTCAGCACTCCAGCTGTTGTGGAACTACAAGTCCCATGAGGTATTGTAGGACTGACAGCCACAGGCATGACTCCCAGAGACAGGGGCATGATGGGATTTGTAATTTCAGTACAGCTGGAGTTTCGATGTTGCTTGCTCCTGCTCGACACGCTTACAAACACATATTTTGATTTAATTTTCCCTTGTGTACTTGACATTACTCCATCTTAGCAATGAGTGTTTCACACAGTCAGAGAAGGGGGTCAGAATAATGTTTTTTTCCCTTTTTTTTTTTTTTTTTAAACGCATGGTAGTGCTTTTCACATTTTTTTAACCTTTTGACTGTATATGCTTTGCCAGTTCTGAAAATAGGACATTCTTTGCTTTTCCTCCATATATTAATACTCTAAAAACAAAGGGATCTGTGGCATATAAATGCATGCATTTTCTAAAGCATGTCATTTGAGGAAAGCCTTATAGAGCAACTGAACTCTGCAGAAAGACACTGTGCAGCCAACCTGGACCTACCTGCTTGTACTTCTCAGCAGCAGATTACAAATTTTTATTACACTGTGCTTTAAGGCCAGCGTTCTGCCCCCGCTATGGGATGCGAATCTCTTGCTACACTCCTTATTGGATAGAATCCACTGCAAGATGCAGGTGGGTGCTAGTAGTAACCACGGATGACGCAGTGAGATACGTTACAGGTTTTCAAAGGGTGTCACCAGCACACCATAATATCTTGTGCAATCAGCAAAAGTCCATTTGATGGATATTGCCACTCAAGTGTAAGCTCTTTGGTGACCACCCAGGGTTCCCTTCATCAGGCTGAGAATGAAAGGTAATTCTCAGCCTGATCATGGGGACCCTGTGTGGCCACGAAAGCGCTTGTACTGAGTTTCAATATCTGTCAAATGGACTTTTGCTGATTGCACAAGATATTATGGTGTGCTGGTGACATCCTTTGAAAATAAGTCCCTGCTACATGTTTCCCTGTGGGTAACTGGACATGCAGCTAAAGCCTCCTATTCTGCAATAAGCCAGACGCAGTGAACCTTGATGCTTTATTAAAATGGGGTGGCTGGAAACCCCCCCCCCATAAAAACATACAATCCAAATGGAAAACATGCAAATACAGTTGCAGCTTATAAGTACCGAAAGAAACCAAGTCCAGTGCTACCAATGATGCTGCCTAAAGGGGATGTAGGATTAATTCCTCCATGAACATGTGCCACAGGTGGTAATGGCTGCCTCAATCCCTAAGATGGAGTCTGAGCTCCCAAGATGCGCTTGTTCCCCTCAGGAGGAATGGGAGCTTTTATTAAAGCAAATCAGCTGCTATAAACAGAGATGTTTACTTCAGCATCCATCTAGTGACCGAATTTGATACTGCAGTGCTCCAATTGTTTTCCTACTCGAGGCAGAACAGCCGGATTTGTAGGTTGAAGGGTTTTGCATTACAGACAGGGTTAGTCATAAAAGGGTGGAGAGTTTGGAGAAGGCAGGAGAAGTGAACGGTCTAGGACAGTGGTGGCGAACCTTGGCAGTCCAGCTGTTTTGGAACTACAAGTCCCATGAGGCATTGCAAGGCTCTGACAGCCACAGGCATAACTCCCAGAGGCAGATGCATGTTGGGATTTGTAGTTTTGGCACAGCTGGAGTGCCAAGGTTCGCAATCACTGGTCTAGGACAACATAGCTGATTTGGGAAAGTTCTCCAATTCAGCTCACTTTCCAGTTCAGCTATGTTGTACCTGTGGTTCCATGCCATATCCCAAAAATAAGGGGACCTCATGCAGTGTTTTGAGGGCATGTGCCTACTGATTTGCTTTTACTGATACAAAGTAACCTAAGACAGGTCCTCATTAGAACGTGCAGCCTAAAATAAACTGTGAAAGATTACAGAACGTTCCGTGCATCCACACGAAAATAAATATCCCTTTTTTCCTTAAAGTAAGAACTAGTTTTATTTCCATTTAACACAAGTAGTACTTGATGAGAGGATTTGAAACCTGTTTTTATAGATTTGCTAATTAAAATGTGTTGTAATAAGTCATGTTTTATTTGAACTCTTAATCTGCCGCTGTAATGGAACAGAGAATTCTGTGCCGGTGAGATCAGAACACAGCGCTATTGTATCCTGTTAAAACACTTAAGCAAAAAAAACCAATGTAGTGTTCCAAAACTTTATAGTGACTCATTTGCAACTACCGAGTTTTCGGGTTATGAGAGAAGTGCAAAAAAAAAGATTCCAATATCCATTAATCCTTCATTTTTTCTTTTGTACTTAAAGGAGAACTATGGGGTTAGTGCCTTTCCCCATAGTTCCCCTAAGGGTAACGGGAGGACACAAACTAGCGTTCTCCCGTCACCCAAAGCTCAGTATACTGAGACGCCATAGCCGGGACGGATCCCGACATTACTGTCTGGATCCACCCAGCTGCGTGAGTGACAGCTGGCTCTGCTTATCTAGAGGAAGAGCCAGCTGTACCCGCCCCGTCCGTTCCGGCAGTCAGCGCTGGAGGATCGGAGTGGGGAGGGGGAAATCCCTGCAGGGAGCCGTGAGTGACAGTCACGGCTCTCTGCAGGGACAGGATCGAGAAGGGAGCGAGGGTATGTGTTCGCTCACTTCCCGATCTACTGAGCCGACCTGTGACAGTTTCATTGTCACAGGTCGGCTAGAACTATGAGGATGAGTGAAAATCACTCACCTCATAGTTCTCCTTTAAAGTGATATTAAAAGAGAACTATGGGATAAGTGTTTTTCCCCATAGTTCTCTTAAGGGTCACGGGAGGACATATACTAGCGTCCTCCCGTTTTAAACAGTGCCCAATCACTTGTATGGTGCCAAAGAGTGTGCGGCCCACCCCCCTCTGCAGCAGCTTCCAGCATGGTGGCTGTCTGTACTGAGATCAGATGGAGATCAGCACTCTTCCACTTGCTGATCCTCGCCTCCGATCTCTGAATGCGGAAGTGGTGTGTATTAAGTCACTTCCGCCTTCAGCTGCGATTTCTCTGGCTTCCACGGAAGAAGCTGATAATAAAGCAGATCTCAGATCAGCTTCTTTGGGGGTCCTTAGGTGACAATAGGGGTCTTATAGACCCCTAATGTCTCCATTAAGAGGACATGTCGCTGTATCTGTGCTATCGCATAGGGGGCTGTTGTGATAGCAATAAAGTTAGGCGTAAAACAAATTATATATATATATATATCTCCTTCATAGCAACCATGGATCTAAAGTCACATGGTGGGCATGAAATGCTTTTGCAGACCAAGATGTTACATGCAAAAGTAACAGTGACATTAGAACTGTGCTGCACATAATCTGTGCAGAGAACAGATTTGTGGGAGGGGCCCAGCATTTCCACCCACTACAAGCTGCCTGCAGAAAACTACATGAGGGGGCGGATACAAGACCAGTCACCCTGCACAGGGACGTCTTTATTACAGAAAGCTCCTGCACAGAAGCAACGTTTCACACTATCAACAGATCTGGAAGAGAGAGTGGAAACCTTGAGTCAAATAGAAATACTACTCGATCAAAAGTATACTGTGCAAAGGCCAATTTAAATGGGAAACTGGCCTAATTAATAACCCATTTACAGTTTTATCTCCAGCCATTTTTTTTCTCTTTTTATATAGAGTAGGGAAGGTTAGTCTTTATCCCCATTGGAGAGATTTTCCCTCTCTTCCCCCTGCGATGCCCATTTCAGAAAGAGACAATTGAGGGGTTGTCACCAGAATTGGATGACAGACCGGAATGAAAAAACTGAATTCCCGATATCTTGGATAGGGAGAATAGCAACGATTAATAAGTCCAATCTTCTGAAACGTCTGTATTATTTCAGGATTCTCCCTGCACCAGTACCTTACCATGTCCTGCGATCCCAGCCATGTTTAGTGTCTAGTTTTGTTTGGCAACACAGGAGGCAGAGACTGAGTAGGTCTCTTCTATCCCGTAGTTGCCTATCGGGTGGTCTGAGTCTCCCCAATTTCTTGTGTTATTACCAGGCAACACAACTTGCCCAAATTCCGAAACTCCATGCAACTTACTAAATTCCCCTTTTGGGTATCATTGGAAGCAGCCAATTGCGACCCCATTGTTGTTCATAATCTTCCTCAACACGATTATTGACCATACTCCATGTGTGGGACTCAGTGACACTGAACTCCGGAGTTAAAGTTTATAAATGTATTCAAGAACCCTAACTATTAACAAAAATGTATCTTATTTGTATATGAATTGGTGCCGACACTGTCCTTCCTTCTGGAGGGGGGCTACTTTGGTTCCCCATGGTTCCTGTGTGTGTTGTAAAGTCGTCACCGCTCCAAGATCACTCCTGTGATGGACTACAATCTCGCCTGTAGTTTACTAATTTGGATTGAGATTGTAGTCCATCACAGGAGCGAGCTTGGAATTAGGACTACTTTACAACGCACACAGGGACCATGGGGAACCAAAGTAGCCCCCCTCCAGAAGGAAGGACAGTGTCAGCACCAATTCAAAGATGATTTGAGGACCTGCAGCCGAGTGATACACAAATAAGATGTTAATAGTTAATATACTTGAATTTATTTTTAAGCTTTAACTCTTGAGTTTAGTGTCACTTTAAGCCTACATTTTATTTGCTATATATTTTTGTATTTGTCCATCCAGTCCTGAGAATTGCACACCAAACAGTCCTGGCACAATGAGAGAGCTAATTTTCCTTCGCTGCAGATCAGTATTGCAGGTCTCATCCGCGCCCCTTCCTTTGACAAGCATAGAAAGGAGAGGCAACAGACGGATGATTTCATGTCTTTCACTTTGGGTTCTCCTATCAGCATATTTCTTGCCCTGTACCATAGCTGATTGGTTCCTTGCGCTGCTTCTCCTGCCCCCAGTATGAGGTCTGCTTTAAGAGGCTGATACCAGGTCAAATTTAGGTACTTGTTACTATTTATTACTTGCTCTGTAGCACAGCTTCCATTAAAAAAAAAAGTATTAAAGGAGAGCTATGAGGCAAGTGAAAATCACTCATCCTCATAGTTCGAGCCGACAATGAAACTTTTACAGGTCGGCTCTATGGATCGGGAAGTGAACGAACGCATACTGTCGCTCGCTCACTTTCCGATCATCTCCCTGCAGAGAGCAGTGACTGTCAGCCTCCGCTCCCCGCAGGGATCCCTCTCCAATCCTCCAGGGCTGAACGCTGGAGGAATGGACGTGGGAGGGGGCGGCGGGCGCTGTTGGCTCTGCCTCTAGATAGGGCAGAGCCAGCTGTCACTCACGCAGCTGGGTGGACAGCATTGTCAGAATCCGTCCCGGCTGAGGCGATCTCGGTATATAGTGAGCAATAGCCCGCTATATACTGAGCTCCGGGTCACGGGAGAACGTTGGAATATGTCCTCCCGTGACCCTTAAAAGTACTATGGGATAAAAAGGTTACCCCATAGTTCTCTTTTAATTACAGAACTGCATTCATTTCTGTCTCTTTATTTGCCTGGAGTTCAGCTTTATGCAAAAGAACCCTTTAATTAATGGGGCTTATCAGCATGTCATATCGTGTTATGCCCTCTTGGTTGCAGACCTCTAATGTGTGTGTTTTTTGGCAAATTCTGTGTCTCCCTGCAGGTGAAGTATGTATTCAGGCTTCAGCATGAAGAGGTTTTTACCATTTGCAGACCTAATGAAGAAGATCGTTTTAACTTTTTCCAAGATTTGATCCTCAAACAGGCAGCCATGCCACCTCCAAAAAGGAAGACTGCAGGTGAGTGTCCGGGAAGTGGTTAATCGCCCATTAATACGTTACTCGCTGGGAAAGAGGATTTAAGTCTAATTTCTGATTTACACAAGATGCAGCTGCAGTTGGAGACCGTAACTCTTGGGACAGAGGAGGTTGTATCATATTCCCAGCCTGGTTCTCACCATTGTTCTATTCTTCACAGACCACAACAGTACACTGTAAATTAGCAGCTTTGTCATTGATAATATAATGGGATTTTCACCTCCATGCTCGGCTCCGACCTGTTGAACAGCAGAGATGATAAACCAGAACAAGGCCCTAACGAATGTATCAAAGGCTTGCAGCATGCTACAGTACTGCTGAGCCTTTCCTTTCAGGAAATCAAAACTCCTGTCCCTTGTCACACCATTAATCCCTCCATGACTCAGGGAATTTGTGTGTGCGGTTTTTTTTCTCTAGACAGAAGGCTTCAACAGGGAAAAAGGACATTTTTTTTATAACAAAGCAATATTAAAGCAAAGCAGCTTTGTCAGGTTATCCTTGAAATGTGACCATAATCACCAGGTGAGAGTTTATGTACCATAAAGGCCAACTCGGGTCTCGCCAAGCAACAAACATGACCCCATTTCGACCACTCTACCCCTATAGGACCCCACCCTCTGACCCTTTTAAAAATACAAATCTTTAGGCATGCCTTTTTAGTGTTTGCAGTCTGGAAATATTACGGGTCCTCTTAACTCACTTGCTCCTCTGGTGATGGGCAGATCTTAAATGCTAGGTCTGATGGTAGCCTGCTTTTGAAGCAGTCCTGTTTGCCCAGTTTCACTCTAGACCTCTACAATGCTACATTCTGTCATTGTGGGACATTGTAGTCCCTGGACAGACCTATTAGTTTGGCATGGAGGACTAGGTCGTACTTGGCTTGGTGGGCCTGGAATCTGACTCTGATACCGGAGAGGTCTTTCCTTCCTGTCTTTTGGAATAAGCTGGACAGGTTTGCCTCCAGGTACCAGGGATCCTCTGGTTGACTCTGGGGGATCAATACACTCTAATCCTATGCTATCTTCCTCTCTTGAACGTTCTTCATCACCTGCTTCACAGGATCAAGATGGGGTGCATTCTGGTGATGCTCATTGCTCTGAGCTGGCCCAGGTGGATGTGGTATTTTGTCCTGGTAAGACTTCTGGAGGGTGTGCGCAGTAGTCTCTTCCAGATCGTCATTATCGTCATTATCTTCTGTTTCACCGACCAATCTACCATCTTGCTTTACAGTTGCTGGCTTTAATGACATGGCTTTTAAAGCCCAGAATTTAAGATACCAAGGCATTGCTGAACTTGTCAATCTTAGTGCTAAAAGCTTGAAAGGCTAATTCCACTAAGGTCTGTTATTGGACATGGAAAGCATACTTCACTAGGTGTGAGTCTGGGGGTCTCCACTTTAGGCATTTCTCTGTGGTACGAGCTCTCTCCTTCCTGCAGCTAGGACTGGACCAGTGTTTGGCTCTCTGTACTCAGAAATAAGGATGGGCTCGGGCGTGTTCGCAGCTCCACGTGCCGAGCCCGCCATGAAGCTGACAGCGCGCAGCGCCAATCACAGGCACTGAGACATTTCCCGATCTCTGCAGCTGCGGACCTGGAAAATGTCTCAGTACCTGTGATTGGCGCTGTCAGCATCCTGGCGGGCTTGGTACGTGGAGCTGTGAACACGCCTGAGCCCCTCCTTACTCAGAAACCTGACCATTGTCGTTTCTATTTTATTTCAGACTGTTGGGCTCTCTATCTTTGATTAAGACCTTTTGTACAGAGAGTCTTTTATGTAGCATGCCCTGTTTGTTGCCCTGTGACTCTGTGGGATCTGAATCTGGTTCTCTTTGCACTTAAACCCCCCTTTGTAAAGATAGTAGTCACCAGCACTCACTTGTAATGTGCAAAAAGGATAGCACTTTTATTGATACATCACATGCGCCAAGAAGCCAATGTTTCGGGGCCGCAGAGGGTCCCTTCATCAGGGCGACATTTGAACCCCTTTGAACCCATCAGAGACGGTCTTCGCTCTACCCTTACCCATAAGCTGGCATTTCCTATTGACATCGCTTCTTGCGTGATGAGTATTCCAACTGACACCCCTGACTTACAAAAAACAGTTTGTAGTTTTGCACAGGGACAAGGTGGTGTGGAGGGTTATGACTTCATTCTTACCTAATGTTGTGTCCGCCTTTCACTTAAATCAGGACTTCTTTCTTCTGCTTGGGGTGTGAAATCCTTCAGGCAGCCCTTTAAGCTGCAGGCAGTTCTTAGTTCTCTGTGTTTGTTGTGTTGTCCACCCCTTGGTTTTAACTGCTTTTGGACATCCCAAAGGTGAAAGACAGTGTCCCTCCATAGATGAGAGAGAAAATAGGATTCATGTCCTTGTCCTAAGATATTTTTTTTAGTCCATTGAGGGACACAAGTCCCACCCCTATGTGTTTATGGTCATATGCTCGGTACTGCTTTGCTACTGAACTGAGGGATGCTGGTAGTAGGAGGGGTTACCCTGGACATGCTTACAATATATGAGTTCCTGTGTCCCTCAATGGACATGGAAAGATTCCAAGGTAATTACAAAAATCCTATTATCCCGGAGTTCAGCTTTAGGTTTGTCATTTGTTCATATCCATTAACAAAGAAATGTACGCTTATAAAGAAGTTCTGTGATACGTGAATATTCTGTGATGCTATCCATAGCATCCAATTATAAAAGAATTTTCACTGATCAGCCCTTGATCAACTGGAATACGACTAGCGGTTATGAGCTACTGATTTGTCCACTTTTGGATACTGTATGATATAAGTCCGTGTCTTCTGCTTCTCTTCATTCATTCCCTGGGTGATTAGTTTGCAGGAGATGACCTAGATAACTTGTAATCCATTGTTACATTTAATGGAGTGTCATTTTAACAAATTTATGTTGTTAATGGAATCGTCTGCATGAACAAAAAGGGAATGATTGCCCTAATATCTGTTATGATGGTGGCAGTAGATGGCTAAAATACAATGATATCAAAATGCAGTGCACTCCTAGCACCCTACATTAATCAAAATGCTTCTATGCATAAAAATGAAGTTGTTACCATCAAAATGTCATTCATCTTTCATCAGCTGCTGTTCTCTCCTCATTCCTCCACCGCGATCACTCATAATGGACGGAATGAGAATAAATACTGATTATAAAGGACAATATAACTTTTTTGTCTTTCAGAAATGCGATCTTTGGAAGTTCTACCGCTTGCGCCACCTCCTCCCCAACCTCAGTTGTCTGAAGTGGAGAAGCAAAGGATGGAGGACCACGAAGAGAACACTTTGCGGGAGCTGAGACTGTTCCTCAGGGATGTTACCAAGCGACTGGCCACTGATAAACGCTTTAACATCTTCAGCAAACCGGTGGATATTGAAGAGGTCTTGTTTCAGTAATGCACAAACAATGAAGCGGATTGTATTTTCTTTATTTTTTTTTTTCTTACCCAAAAAGCTCTGCCAGGTTGCATATGGTCACACACAAGAAAGTGGATTGTAAATCATTCATGTTAACTTGTATCTTAAAGGGCCAGTAAACCTAGACTACAGTTAAAAACATTATGATGCAAATGTGTTTAAAACCAAGCTAGATAAAGGTGGGGGGATCGCACCTCTTCCTAAAATTTTTCCGTTTGGGAACAGCTAAACTTAAATTTGATTTTCTGTTTTTGGTGGCACAGGGTGGGGTCTGGATCCCTGCTATATATTTAGTACATTTTGACCTCAAATCCCTTTCACGTCTGTGACAGTCCAAACTTTACTTCTTAACTGAGCTACCTGAATTCTCTGTTCCTTGTACAAGGAAGAAGATAAACCTAAAACTCTTCTTTTTCTTTTTTTTTGTGATCCTTTAACATAGCAATGTAAATAATTAGAACTCCCAACATGGATCACTTGGTATAAATTGTAACTCAGGTTTATTGGCCTTTTAAGATCCTCTTAAGTTTTACTATGTGTGTTCTTTTGACCTGTTTATCACAGTGAAAACACAGTTGGTAGACAACATGCAGTACTGAAAGGAACCTTTGAGCAAGGGACATGGGAGCCTACTTGCATTTGAGGTTTATGCAGGTCAGTGACTTGGTAAGTAGTGCAGCAGGTGTGTAAATAGCAGCACTAGACCTTCACGCAAGCCAGCAATGGCTGCACCTTTATTTTTAGAAGGACAAAGTTCCCTTTGGGCCTCCTAATTAGTGGGGTAGTGGGTTGTTTTTAGACATGTGCAGCGGCTAAAAATTTGTTTAGTTTCGGATTTCGTTTATTTTGTTTTTGGAATTCAGATCCTATATGTGTTTCGTTTAGGGAATCTGATTCAGATCTGATTCGGAATTCGTGTGGGATTGGGAATTCGGACGAATTCCCGAAAATTCAACTTGAGGTGGGGTAGCAGAATTGGCACATTTGTCATTTCTGGTTGCTTTGCTCTAGTCTTTACTATTAAGGGGGCATTAAAATCCTTTTCTTTGTTTTTATCAGTTTAAATGTTAATGGTGCGCACACAGGATTTGGACGAAATTCGTTCCAAATCCGAAATTTCGGATGATTTAGGATATGTTATATTTCGGTAATTCGGATGCTCCGAATCTACAAATTTCGTCTGAATTTTGATTTGAAATGAATCACACATGTCTAGTTGTTTTAGTCCTTGTCTGAGAAGCACGACGGCCCATTGTGAGCTCCTGAAATGTTTAAACGTTTCCTCATGGCTTGGAAGATCTATAGAGAAGGAAAATTAGCCAAGTCTAGGGACCTTACCTCACTGAGGGCACTCTAGGACCCTGGTGGTGTTGCTTGCTTCATTTCTTGGCAAGTCCCTCAAGTGGAGGTGTTGCAGGTACCAATAGTGCCCTAGAAATGTTCAAACTTTTCTTTATAGCTTGAGGGAGCTATAGAGAAGGAATATATGTTGAGTCTAGGGAGCTTACCTGAGGAAATGCTAGACCCGGGTCGTGCTAAATGGGCAATAATCATTCCTGTGGTTCGAGCTCTTTGCTCTAATAGACCCCAAGACCCATGAAACACTTACCCGGTAAGCCTCATTTATCAAAATATTGCACAAGTCATCAGGGTTGAATTGAAAAGGACGACCAGATTGGGTTTTACTAAACCCTGCCAGAGACCATCCATAAGTAAGACCTTGTTAACACCGTGTCCGTTGAGCTGCAAGTTTCTGCACACCACCGGAGTTGTACAATTTTTATCTGTGTCTCTTGTTCACATCATACATGTGCAGAAAAACGCAGCTCCGTTAACAAGCCCTAATTTTCCAAGGAATGTCAGGATAAAAGTCGGATTTACAGATGTAGTGATTTGAGGAAGAATTGCGTGGAAGGAGCCTTCTTTTTGAAACGCATGGGTAAACCCTGTCGGGAACCAATTGGAATATGCATGGAAGATGCACGCAGACCAAGGCTGTGTTTTGAATGACTTTTCACTCTCTCCAACAACATTAGACCACATAACCCTGAACGCTTCACGTTTACAAATTGGCACAAAGATTAGTTTGGATTCTGCTTCTATATGTGTATTATAGCTTTTTTCCAGTGAAAGTTGTGTGTTTATTTTTTAATTTGTCCAGGCAATATTGGCTTTTCATCAACAGTCTGGACTGGTCCCTATATTACAGAATTCCGTTATTGGCATGTGGTTCCCAACATTCCATTGAATCATTTCCCCCATACAACAGTGACCTCATGTGTTTTCTTTTAGTTGAGCTCCCACTGTGTCATGTGAAGGGATTTAGCTGCTACTCAATCAACAGATTCCAGAGCGGGCCCAGCCTGCGATGGGCAGGTTAGCCAAAAGTCAGTGTTTCTGCGGCATACAAAATAAAGAGCAGAATGGTTTATAAGCCCTGCTTTATAAGTACCTGCATAGTATAGGACAAGGTACGGGTTGTAACCAATTTATCTGTTTTTATTTCTTTAACAGAGTTTTACATTGATTCTGCCATTAAAGTAGAATGCCAGAGAAACGACTAAAGATTCAATTTAAATTCAGATATGTGATCTGTTTTACCGGTCAATGAATTGGAAATTCTGTTCAGCCACACGTGTGATTTACGTTTACTACACTGCACAGCCAGGCAAGTGATAACTATTGCTTGGCTTTGCAACTTCTTGTTACTTGATTGTGAAACACTGCTAAGCTGAACCAGGAAATGGCCGAGTCCTCTTCCTAGCTGTGCATTGTATTGAGATGTGTTAATTGCGACTGGCTGAACACATTTACTAATCTTCAGCAGGTAACAGAGTTCACATATATGTTTTCTGACTGTGCATTTATTGATGTCTCCTGGCTTTACTTTAAAGAAATGTCCTATTTAATACTGTAGCCTGAAAAAAAGCTAATGGATTGAAACTTCTGTTGCTTATACCCCTTATGAGCAGTGCCCACTCTTAACCGTTTTACATCCCAAGTCCATGTCCTAAATCTAAGGAGAACACCCAAAAGAGGCAGCGCTCCTCCACGGCCCAGGGAAGGAATGAGCTGGGTGCATGCAGCTTGGGAGCACATCCTTGCTTCAGTATGAGCCCATTCAAACAGAAGAAAAGCTGGCCACACATCGTATTCTGCTGAGATAGTTTATTGAAACTTGCACCACATCACTAGTCTTCCTTCCAAGGTCCCCCCCCAATGACACGTTTCACCCAACCATGGACTTAGTAGAGATCTCTATGACTAAGCCTGTGATTGGGGGGCAGACCTTGGGAAAGGACACTAGTGATGTGGTACAAGCTTCAATAGCAGCGTTGCCTCCATTGGGGTTAGCAGAATCTTTAGATCATGTTGGGAAATTTCTGGGGTTTTGGTAGGGATCTGGTTGCAGTGAGCAACAGTTTTTGGACTCCACTCCTATTTAACAATTTTTTTTTAAAATTGTTTGCGTTACCGATTTGATTTGCAAACTCTTTTCTAAGACCAGCTGATGGCTTAAGGACACTTTTCTTCGATAGAGGGAGGCTTCCATCGCTGACTTATTTTTCAAATGACAATTGCCTGGATGTCAAGCTAATCCCCTTGCATCAGGTCTTTGAGTAAGGACCCTTTCATACCAGGTGTGTTTGGGTGCACTGGCAGCCTTGCCCAGCGCAGTCACAACACAAAGGCAAGTCAATTTGCCTTGATTTTAGTCGGCCCGGTTCACACCAGTGCTCTGCAGCTATAGGTGGCAGATGTGAAATTGTGTACTAGGCTGGTGATTGCAATATGGTGTTTTTAATGCAGGCATTATCTAAATAATAAACCTATATGAATATGTAGCAGTGAATGAAGTGGTAGACCTGGCATTTTCATATTGTTTTAAACCACATTGTAGAAACTGGTAAATTCCCCTTTAATAACATTTTTTTTTTAATGGACAGCCATCTTCAGCATGTTTGGTAACATATTCTCTTTAGCAGGATATCATGACTAGAGTTTAATTACTTGCAGGTATTCATTAGTTTTGAGCTACCAATTTGTGTTTTCATAGCATATAAACAATGGGCTCCTGTCCTTTTTATAATCCTCTTGCTTGTGTTCAGGCGTATCTGGAAAGCCACAACCGTGACCAGTAGTCACCGCTGAAACCTGGCAATGTTGGGAACAGTCACCGATCTATGTCGGATATTTTGCAATTGGCATTCTGACAAGACAATGTGTTGAAACAGTACTGGCCTAATGCTTTACATCACAAAAAAATTGTAAATTCTTCACGATGACCAAATCAATTCATTTTTCAAGACAAATTGTATTTACTGACAACAAATTCCGCTTCTGTGCATGCCCGTGCAGGGTTCACCATGTGACTCCAAGACCAGACCAGAGCGAGTCTAAATCCGTGCAGTGAAGGTTGATCTGTTCAGCTGACCTCCACAAAGCCACATTCCCATCCATGATTGAAACTCTGCTCTGCTCTCATCACCACAGGCAGACAAATGGAAGACCATACTCGCGCTCAGTCTCGATCCAAACTTCAGAACCTTTATCTAGCGTCTTGAAGTAATGGGCTTTTGCATTTTAGCATATTCCCTTTGATCATAGCCCTTTTAGAACACTGCACATGCCAGATTAAATGGCACACGAGCAACAAAACAAGAACACCCCTGACATGGGATTGGTGCGCAGATAAAAATGCATCAAATACATTTTATTTTTCATTGAACCTGATTCACTGAGATTGTGTCAGATGGCGGCTTACTGAATGTTGCCAGTGCTTAATATGAACGCTGAAAATGTTTGTGACTTGGTGTGCACCAAGCACATACATATAACAAAAGCAGTGTGTTTCTCTAGGTCAGTCCATGCTTGCCTGCTATAACTAGGTGCTCTTCCAGCTCATTTACTTACAACAGCTATACAAGGAAACTGGATGAGCACACACCGACTATATCCAAACTCTTTATTCTTTCAACACTGCAGATTGAGACCTCTGACGTGTTTCAGGGACACACGCGCTTATAGACCCACTGAAACGTGTCGGAGGTCTCCATTCATCTGTTGTGTTGACGCTTTTATGAAAGAATAAAGAGATTTTGGATACAGCTGGTGAAGGTCATCCAGCATTCTTGTATAGAACCAAATACATCTAGATATAGTTGTTTAGTGATCAGACAGCTGAGTTTCTCTTGGGCCCCTTTCTTACAGGCTGATCAGGAGGGCGATCTGTGCACGGATCCACTCCTGATCAGAGCAGTTCGGATTGGACGTGACATCTATGTCCGTCAAGTTTTTTTTCCTCCATCTTGATATGGAAAAAAATGAAATACTAGACCCCATGTTAGTCTATAGGAAATCATATGTAAACGATCTTTGTCCGTTTACATCAGATTGCCCCTGATCCGGCACAATTGGTTCTGGAGAAATGGATCTCTGATGAATTAGCTTTTTTCCTACCTGGCCGTTGTCTGGTCTAAACAGACACCCTTCCATTCACACCTGGCTGCCCATAGACTAACATTGGGCTTCTGATCAGGTCCACTTAAAAAAGAATATACTGAGAGGCGGACCTGATTGGGCCGCCATATAAAAAGGGAGTTACTGAAAGCAGTTGTTGCTTATCTTCCATCAAATGGGATGAGCTATCTTATGGAAGTTTAGGAAGAGTTTGTTTCAGAAAATAACTAAAGCTAAAGACATAATCCGATACTTATATACTAATTGTGTTACAAATTATAATAGCCTAGCAGAACTAAATGGTGCATGTGGGTTTTTTCAATTTTTTAACTTTATTTCGGTTTTGAAATTGCTCTACCATTCTCTGTAGCAGGGGTAGGCACCTCACAGCAGGCATCACAAGCATTTGACAGCCACAGGAATGGTTCCCAGAGGCAGATACACGATGGGATTTTTAGTTTCACCTCAGCTGGGGAACCAAGGTTGCCTCCCCCTGCTCTATAGGTAAAAGCCTAGGTGCAGTTTTTGCAGCTTTGAGCTCGGAGATGGATATATAAAACTCTAGAAAACATAATCAGTCTGCCTGCGAATCACTCTTGAGGTAGTTGTCCTTTCCATTACATCACTTGTGCCCACAGGTACAGTCTGTGTCTTGGAGTCAGATGGGATCCTTAGTATGGTTTGTGTTGTCTTTTGACTTGTGTTTGAGAACACTAAATATTGGATGGGAACTTGCCCTTGAAGCCATCACCTGCCTCCTTCACCATGCAAAGCTTTGTGCTGCATACACAATAGACCGCCATCATCTGCATGCAGTTCATCAGTTTAAATTATGTCATTAGACCCACCCTTCATTACCTTTGTTCTGTGGAATCCACTCATAGCTCTTTTCTTCTGAACTTTCCATCACTGCCAGACCAATGGGGAGATGTACAAATAGCTGATCAGTGTGTTCCCTGTGTAGTTAATCATGATTTATTTTTTCCAGCTGTGAGCTATTCATTGTGTTTATTGCTGCCTTTTTTTTGTTGGTCTTGCATGTTGTTCTTGTATTATGTTGCACAGAATGAGGGAGATTTACCAAGCAGATTACATGCAGTGTCTCTAATAAGTGTAACTCAGGTTGTCTCTAAATGAACAAAGAATTTCTGACAGTTGTTTGCAAATCAGTTAACACTATGCAGCGTTGATACACTAGATGTCCAAACACGTGTGGTACCTTACTATCACACCTATAAGAGGTTGTTGTACATACCATTCCAAAGTAATTGAAAATATTCGAGTTACCCCCTTCCTTCTTTGCAGTTATAACATATCCCGCTCCTTGAGAACCAAGATTTTGCAGTGTCTGTGGGAATTTGTGCCATTTCAGGTTCAAGATCATTGGTCAGGTTGTTGAACAAGAAGATCTGACTCGTGATTAGCATTCAATTCATCCCTAAAGTGTTCTGTAGGGTTGAGGTCAGGGGAGCTCTGTACAAGTCATTTGAGTTACTCAACTCAAACTCCTCAAGCCATGTGCTTATGGAACAGGAGCAGAGTCATGCTGGAACAGAAAATGGCCGCCTCCAAACTGTTGCTACACAGTTTGCAAGGCTGCAGTTGTCTAAATTGTTTTGGTATGCTGTAGCATTATCGGTACCCAATACTGGAAACACTTCAACTCAATTATTTGGAGAGACTTCCACATACTTTTGGCCATTTAAGTAAGCGATGGTCAGGTGTCCAAATTAAATATACATCCATTTGGTTAGTTTTCTTTTGTGGCCGCTCCCCATTTCATTCTTCTAAGCCCTGATGAAGAGGGAATTTTGTTGCCCCCAAAACAGAGACTGTTTTTATGTCACAGTATTATGTACAAATAAAGGCACTTTGGACCCTTTTCATGTTGTGTGCGGCTTGATGCCCATTTGGTATGTAAAAACTACACAATCCATCTCCCCAATGTTTAGGTGTGTAGGTTTGTTGTAGGTCTGTGCCCGATTGGCCTTTTTGTGAAATCCGGCATAAACTTTAACAAAATCTCACTCCTAGTTTACATTTATATATTTAATTGCTGTGCAAGCAATATTGTAATTTAATGAATGAGAATTTAATTTATGTGTTAGAGTGTAGACAGCCAAAAATGTGTGTACATGCCAAAAAAAACCCCCCAAAAACCTTGGCAGCAGTATTCGGTTTTGTAGAAGTTATTTTTTGGACTCTTCACCACCCTGCTTATATAATTGTCTTACTGCCTCATCCAGAAGTCTTAAGAGAACCAGAGGTCAAATTATAGGAGGCCTGTTTTCTGGATTATTGAACACCCAGCTGTATTCTCAGTGTTACTGCACTGGGAGTTCATTTTTGGTAATGTAATCACAAGGAATGCTTGTGTGCTTTTTTTGTTATATTACACTGGGACTGCTCATATGACCCACAATTTGGCAAACATTCGGAAAGATTTTAGCAGATGCATTGGAATGGCCTACAGAACAGAAGCAGGCAAGAATTTGAAAGAACATTTGTGAAAATTGTATAGCTGGTCAGATGTTTTCCCCCCTTCCCTGAAGGACACATACAGATTACACACTAGTCATGAAGTGTAGTTGCCGTTATTTGTAAGTTCTGAGCATAAAATGGCAATTTTACAAGAATAGACTCTGCATCATGCAGTAAATCTCCCTGTGTTTGTGTCATTTTGCATGAGCTGCTCATTTTTGATTGATGCATTATTGCTCCTTTACAGGAAAACTCCAGGCAGATGTGTAAAGCTCCGTTCTTCTCCATCGCTTGTGCAGCTGATATCTGGCTTACAGTAGGAGTTCCTTTTTGGATCGATTGGTTTTGGTGACGAACGGGAGTGAGCAACACAAGCTCAGCCCACAGCCTCTCTAGGGTTTAATAGATGGCACCCCTGATGGTCAGTTTTCAGGTCATGAGAAGAAGGCATGTAGCAGATGGCCCCGTCTTTGGAAGCTATTTGGGAAAGGAGCCGGGATACTGCTAAAACAAAGATTGGAAATTCAGCCACACTGTTGCCCAGTTGGAACACTGGAATGGCTTTACATGCTTACAGACTGCCCCGTTACCTATTCATGGGACCGTGTTCCCTGTCTGGTGATGGAGTCTATGTGCATATATTTAAAGGAGAAAAAAAATGCACATATAACCTAAAATGGGAAGATTTGACCTATATTATGCATGTTTTGAACCTGTATAAGCCTCCCTTGTGCAGACATGAAGGGCCCTGAGACTGCTGCTGGGCTCCACCATTTCGCTTGTGATGTCAACAGCCCCAACAGACTTGGAGCTGTCACTTAAGTGACGCTCTATTGAAGGGGTTGCAAAAAAAAGTCCCATAAAGAATTGCAAGACTTTGATAGTCCAAAGTCATATGCATAATGGATGTTGTAGTTTCACCACAGGTGGAGTGCCAAAGTTTGGCTAGCCCTGTATTATAGTATTCCTCTTTGCTTTTCCCCCACCAGCTACATAAGTTTATGTAGGGAGGTAAGGGGAGGGCTGAAGGAGCTGGGCCAGCACACAGTTATTAGACACTCCAAGGAGAGGAGAGGGCTATTGTGTAGCAGGAGGGAGAGCGAGCGGCTGTGCTAGGGAACTGACTAGTCATATTTGCTAGCACGTTTAAAGGCACAATGCAAACACAGATGTTTATGGAAAGGAAAAAAAGGTGCAAGTAAGCATTTTAAATACTTTGATTTAGCTTTGCTTTTACCTGCAATTGTTTAAGTTGGTGACAGGGTCTCTTTTAATACCATTTGGATGCAGCAGCGGTGTATTTCCCATTAAGGACCCTGTCTGGATTTTGTATGTTCGCACTGTCTGTGGCTGGCTCTTTAAGACTGTACGTTGAAGAGTTTTGTGGAGTCTCTAAATAGCTGAATAATGGGCATTTTATAAAGGAGAAATTAAATATAGGTACCTGACATTTCCTGGCAATCGGCATACAAAGCAAGCACTCCTACTGTAAACCTGATACACAGATTTCTACTAAAGTCACCCTAGAAAAGGGAGCTGCGCCATTATGTATTCATTTGCCTGGAGCTCTTCTTTAAACTCCTGTAGCTCTCAGTTCAGTTTTCTTTTCCTCGATCCAATTCAAACTCATCGCTAGTCCCTTTTTGTTCTGCAGGTCTCAGATTACTTAGAAGTTATCCGCGAACCCATGGACCTTTCCACCATCATTACAAAAATCGACAAGCACCACTACTTGACTGTGCGGGACTTCCTGCTGGACGTGGACCTGATCTGCAGCAACGCTTTAGAGTACAATCCCGACAAAGAACCTGGAGGTAATGATGCTAAGAAACGTATTGCTCCTGCAATTATTATTGTTCTCCCTTTTGCTGGCTGTTATTGATTTTTAAACCTCTCTCTGCCAGAAGGGAGATGTGCTGAAAAGCAGCTCATAATCACTCCGCTCTGCCAGTCAAGGGAAAAAAAAAAAAATCAGGAAGCAAGACGGGATCCATGTTGGCCTATAGATAAAAATAGTTTGCTAGAGAAAAAAAAGAAAGAAACTGCCATTTTTATATTGGCTTTCCAGTACTATATTTTTATTATTGATTCTCTGAACAGCCAAGTGCATAAGATAAAATGCTGCCTTGAAATCTATAAAGTTGTGTTTTACTCAGCTATTTGCTGTGCTTTGTATCAGCCGGTATTCATTTCAGTTGTTAAAAGCACAAGAGATCCTATATTATTCGCCGAGGTCATTTGGTATTTTTCCTCTATGAGTTAAAGTAGCTGGGTTAAAGCTGGACTCCAGGGAACTACGAAAAACTACTCTTGTGAGTGGTTCCACCATCCCCAACCACCCGCCCTAACTTAATTATAAGAGTTAAAGGGGTTCTAAACCCTCTGTTTTTTTTGCCTATATCTACTGCTATCAAGCAGTAGATATATGCACAAGTAAAAAAAAAAAAAAACGCTTTAACAGCGGTTTACACTTACCTCGTTTTCGCTGCGCGCTCCCGCCAGAGAATCCAAAACTTTTCGGGCGTGGCATCATTTATGGTAATTCCTTGCACTAGCACGGGGGGGGGGGGGGGGAATATCCTTTAATGTCACTTTAAGTGCTCGTTTTTGCCTAGGGTATTATAAAAAAGCATATAGACTTGCCTTTTCACTTGCTTCCCTGGCAGGGGGCGCTATTCTCTTCCCACCTACGCTTTGCATTGTGGACGGGCCCTCAGCATTCTCATTCACAATGCAGAACTGGTGGTCCGGCATTGTACGCGATGGTGTGACCAACAGACACATCACTGAGTGGAAGTGGCTTCGGAGGACTGGTTGCATGGAGAGGGGAAACCTGCAGAGCGAGATATAAGTTA